CAATTTCATTTTGTATTACATTCTTCTATTGTCAGTGTAGTCGTACCATATTATATTTCTTATTTGTTTTCCACATGTTTGATAGAAATATTACAACTCAAGTGGTACGTTAGTGTGAACTATAACACAGTTTTGAGAGGTCTTACATTATTTTTTGATTAAACAATTATTCTCTTTCATTTTGTTTTGATTTATAACAGCTGCATTTTATCGAGGACATGTACTTAACTGCATGCTCAATTTGTAATTCGTTAGTAAGTGTCTCGTCTTGAGATAGGACGTATAAAAGGTTGATTTTCACATGTTTTATATATTTTCATCGCAAGTTGATTTATTTTCCTCAATTTGATTTGCCAGAAAGAATAGTCTGAAACAAAGGGTTAAATAAATTAAATAAGAAAGCTAAACATTTTCATATTGCTGCTGATGATGACAAAGACTTATTGTCGAAGTAGTTGTTCATATATCATATCTAACTCAAAGCTTCAATGATATCTTTATAAAAACGTTCAGTATCAATACAATTATTTTATTGTCAGTGTAGTCTTAGCATTGACAGAGAGACTTTAAAATTGTAACATCCTATTGCTTTTAAATAAGAAATATGTATTTTTCCGGCTAGTATTCCGGAGCATTCATCTTTCTGAGATTCTGTTTTCAATTATAGGAATAAACAATATTTTGTCTAGCATGCTTTCTCAATTTCACTTAACCTTTTAATTCACATAGACGTGTTATGATGGCTTTGAATTCCCCTATTAGTGAAAACAAATGCTCTATTTAGGCCGCAAACACTGTTTTTCGTTTGCAAAATGTTGTTAAAAAGGACCACTTTTTCAGCGCCTCGCCCCTTTCAAAAAGGTACACCAAGGGGGTGCCAGAGGGGGATGTGCCCCCTTCTGTTTAGGAGTTTGAAGGGTGGCAGTAGCCGCCGCCCCCACCTTATTGCCAAGACAATTTTGGATTTGTAAGAGGCTAAAAATAGTCTCAAGTCGATATTAAGGTTACATGTGACCAATACTGAAAAGCCTTTTACTCTTTCTCAATCCATTGACAGGTTGCATCACTTTGAATTTAAATTAAAGATTGTTACTGTAACAAAGGCTATCGTCAAGTCAACATTTGTGCCAAGTTTGTTGAATATTGAAGCATCCTTTATATTTTCATAGTAATCTTAACTTGTAACAGAAGGCTTTTAATGAAAGCAAAATGCTCATGCAGTAGTGGGTAAATAGAAACATGCACGGAATATTTCATTTACCACTGCCTGAACCTGCCATTTAAAGTGAGCCTGCAATATCTTACATTTTGCCGTAATAGGCAATATTTAAGGTTAAACTTTACATTTTGAGTATCGCATTGTACAAGATGTTTGTAATAAGGACGCGTTTCATTCAAAAGTTTATGAAAACAAATGTTAGTTTAGGACTTCAATTTCTTAAAAAATACTGTCAACACTTTAACAACACTTTAACAAAGATTTACAAAGAAATTGCTTTAACAACAGTAACATCTAAACATGAAAACAATGATTTTCTTATGTTGATGGTTTTTTTTCTACCGATATAAACACTCTTTTTCAAAGATATTATAACCTAGATATATTGGCAAATATAAATTTCAAATTTCACCTTTCTCTAAAAAAGAATAAAACAAGGGGAAGGCATTATGTCGCTTACTTAGTGAAAGCATTTACATGTATATGGGGACAATTTCATTGTTTTATATAACATATAGGAATTGCCTTTTTACGTAATAGTATGTAAAAGAACTCGTAATCTAGTTTTCAGTGTGTTACATTTTAAAGGCAGTGCAAGTTAGGACTAGCCTTATCTGTTGTCATAGCACTTGTCATCATAGTCGCAGTCGGGGTTATGTTGGCATATAAATATCTGAACAATAGAAATAGTTGATACAACGCATCAATCAGCGGTTATGTTCTTGTAAATATTCGGACAAATTGTGAAGTACCCGTCTTGGCTTTTGTTAATATGTTCAGGACATTCGTTTATATAGTGAAGATGATTTTGTTTACATGAACAATGAGGATGTTGGTATTTTTCTATCATGATGATGTATATTTGGTAATACTGGCGTGTCTGAATGTTAATCAACGAAATACACTGCATACTCTACATATTGTTGTATTTCAGCGGTGTACATGACTCTTTATGATCAGAAACACAATGTTTATATTAATTCTTTTCTCATCCCTCCATCGACATTTTGTTTGATTGATTATATTTGAGGTCGATAATAATCAATGTGTATCCTCCTTTTGGTCAAAGTACCGACGTTAGATTGTTACACTTTGCTTTCAGTTATGACCAAGCTTTCATAGCGAGAGGTCCCGCTCTGTTGACTATAAAAATAATATTTTTTTCACAAGAACAAACACAAGACTTTGCGGATAATCTCAAAAATCATTTATCCTGTGTCAAAAAAGAGTTGCAATAGATTCATCGATATTTATCATTTCATATAATGGATTTGTAAGATCTTACCAAGTTTTGACAGGAAGAGCAAAAAAAAAATGCTTCAAACTTTGTGTTTTATTCACAGTTATTTAATAATTTAGATCTTACATAAACTGAACCATCGTACAAAATATTAGTAAAAACATGGGATTTATCTTTAGTCTGGCGTATTCGTTACCATGTTAGGCACAATCCTGTATTTTAAGTGGATACTGTTATTAGTATGAACACATATTTAACAAGTGTCAGTTGAACATTATTTCATTTCCAGGCTTGCATGTTACTTTCTAAAATCTGTTCAAAAAAGTAATACAATACTGTACTATACTATATAGTTATGTATAGTTTAATTATGACCGATCTTTTAAGAAATATGATGTGCATATATTTTCTTTTTGTGTTAATCATTATAGCTGAATCATGTGTCTGTAAACAAAACTTATAGGCAAGTAATAAACGAGTCATACATTATTTATATAAAAAAGTATAATCAGCATATAAACGCATTGTGAATCTTTGAAAAAGTTACTCTAAAATTATTATTTAAAGAAATGTTCATATTTTCAATGCATTCTTACGTAGACATCTAAAATAAAGCTGCCAGTAAGTTTGCAATATATTAATATCGAACCATAACAAAGGTGTGCGTAAACTATCTTTATAATAAAATCTTCATTTTGAACATTAAACATTTAAAAAGTAACTTCGCAAACAGAAGCTAAGAAACTACATTCGTTAATATATATATAATTTTAGATCTCAATAAAAATGTGTCCACCTAAAGGAAGTTTTACATGAAGCACAACATCGCGCAATTTTGAAACATTGAGATATGGTTCTGGACGTACAATGCAAAATTTTTTACTAGATCTGCACTAAATTTATTCAAGAAATAAAAGAAAATAACTTCTGTGTATGTGTCAACAGAAATACATAAGTATAATTGTAATCACTATTTTACAGCCACAAAATGTGACAAAGACAAAATCAATACAGGAAATGATCTGTTACAGGGTATAGTTAGTGTCCAGTCATTTATCAAATAACGTGGGCAATTTACCAATGACATCTATTTGCATCGGCCTGACTTGTCATCATAACCTGTGACAGAATATTTTAGGCTTTGGCATCCAAGTGTGTCCCTAACCTTTGAGGTAGGGATCTAGGTATTGCGCATGATATGTCGTCTTTTTATTGTTGACATTGTGCCAATTTATTATGATGAAAACGTTAATACCGCACACGAAATGTACGTGTTAAGCTTTGGCTCTCAAGTGTGACCTTGACAATGAGGGAACGAGTCTGGCTATTCCATATGACACATGGTCCCATTATTGAGAACATCTGTGCCAAGTATTTCAAAATTCCTTGAAAAATAAATCAACACTATAAACTGCACACTAAATATACCCTATAAAAGACCATGTTAAACTTTGACCTCTTAGTATGGCCTTGGCCTGGGAGGGTCCAGGTGTTGTACGTGACCCATTGTCTTATTATTGTAAACATTTAGACCAGTGTTTCGAAATCCCTTGATGAATGAAAACGTTATGCACTGGAAACACAATATACTCTATAACAGACTATTGTAATATTTATCCTTCAACTGGGACATTGACCTTGGAGGAAGGCAAATTGTTATTGCGCATGACACGTTGTCTTATTATTTTAAATATTTGTGCCAATTAATTTCAAAATCATGGACCCTATTTCTATTATAACAAGGCGGGGACAATAAATAAAAAATAACTTCACCATAAATACACGATAACAATGCTTATTAATGTGTTTTGATAAGTTTACAATAATTTACAATCTACAACAGAGGAAAACATGAAAATCAATAGTTGTTAAAAAAAACACAGTAAAAAAAGAAAGGTATTGCAAATGGATATTGTTATTTTAAAGTTTTAGAAAAAATAAATATATTCTATATAAACATGTTATATTTATTATTTGTTTAATATGACAAACGTAGTAGTAACGAAATGAACTGGAACATCATGAACACAACATTCGAATTGAATTTTTAAATCCTTCAAAACGTGACACCGTTTAGACGGAAACACTGAAACGGTTGAAAGGACGGACGGATGGAATAGCAAAACTATTAGCTTTCCCAGTTTTAGGGGTATAAAAGTGACGTCGATCATATTATCATATTACTGTACGGAGATAACCGTATATAAATCAACATTGAAGTTCTAGTCTAGAGTCCACTTTCTAGCACAGTGGCTACTGAATGTTCCGCAATACAACTGCTTATTCAGTACATTTATTAACATTTTATCTATTTACTTTTATCAAGTATCAGTGTCATTTTAATAATTTGATCATTATTTGTATTACTATCATTTTTGTAATTATCATCAACATATTTTTATCGTTATTATTATCATTATTTTCATCATTATCATCATTATAACAATATTACATTTATAAAACAGTGACTTGCACTCTAAGATGTATAATTCTCTCATTCTCTATAGATATATAAATAATATATATATATATACTCGTATATCCTAATTTAACAGTGACATTTGAAAGAATAGAAAACGATAACCAATCAACCAACATTTAATGTCGAACATCAAGCAAAACCCAGTATCAGAATATGTTGTCTGGCGTGTATTTTTGTTGATTAAATCATATCCAAATAGATTTACGAATTGAGGTGATCAAGCAACCAACACACATATAGTTTCAAATCAATTCAAATATTTGTAAATTGAAATTGTTTTGTGTTATAAGAGAAATTTAGATATATAATCAAGCTTACGGAGGTATTGTTCTTCGACATTAAGAAAGCTGTGACTATATTCGTCGAAACATCATTTTTGATATTTTTAATGAATAATAAGCTTTAAATTGATAATAGTACATGCTACACATTAGTTTGCAGTTTTTCGTTGTGCCTGGAGTTACATATTTTCCGTTGAGATTAACGTATGAACAAAAATTGTACCACCAACCACCATGTTGCACGACAGCACAATTCAAGCTATGTTTGTCCCTGTCAATGTTGTAGGTGGTGAAATGTTGTCCATTGTGGTATGACAATCCATTGTTATTATCACCTGTTTTAGATAAAGAATATTTAGAAATTATATTTTTTTTCAAGTGCTTTTTAAACCTGGTTGACTCCTCAAAATTGAAAAATTTACAAACAAGTCTTACCAAAGTCGGCATAAAACATGTTCATTATTCTTAATTGAGGTCGACGGTAATGTTTATGCGATCTCTGTTTGAAATAGCCAATCACATGGAACCATTATTTTTAGTTTTCTTATAGTTTTAAAATTATAATGTTATTCATCACCTGCGGTTCCGACTCCCTTGTCAATATGTAGAGTATAATAAGGACCATCACTAAGACGAAAGTTCTGGAATGTTTCGTATACATGTTCTCCACCAGCCGCTGTGAGATCTAGTCTTAACTCTGTTTTTCCTTGAGACACCATTTCGTAGATAATTCTAAGACCTGCATGAAAGTAGATTAAAGGTTTTGCATTATAAGAGCGTTCGCTGATACACACTTACATATATGTGTCTATGTCTGACTATGACAAAGACCTGCGAAACATAAAAAATACATTTTATCATTCTTTTTTATAAGAGGTTAATATTATAATTATAATGTGTCGTGCTTCTTTCTTATTGTTAAGGCATATTTATCCTTACATCAATTATTTCTTTTGATTGGCAATGAATCTGTCATATTACATTCATGTATTTGTTAACAAAAATATCGTATTACTTTTGTAGAGATATTATATGAATAAAATAATCACATACATTATTTTAACACTTTGGAAACACTGTGCAGATGAAGATTTTACTGCAAGTAGAAATTGGCGGTTGTTAATTACTTCACGGCTTTTAACATACCGGTCTCAGGCGTATTTCGTAACATATGTTATTTTAGTTTTTGTTTAAGAATTTATAATGCTTTGTCAAAAATGTGACAGATATTAACAAGTATGTGATTACGTTAAAGGACATACTAATTTGTATCAACTGTTCAATGATAAATCGTCACAGATGTAAAAATCAAATCCAAGATTTTGCTATGTTTATAAATGATAGTGTTTTAAAGTGTACGTTCTCTTACACTTATAAAAGTTTTACGAAAGCCTCATGACATTAATCGTAATTATGTATAAACTAGTGCAATAAGTAGTAATATTGCATTTATGCACATCATCTGAATAAATTTTTGTTTTCATAAATAGAAATAGCTGCTGTGTAATCGAAGAGTTATGTACAACTGCAAATCAAAGGCCATGATACATTGTTATAAATATGTTATTCTACAATTATAAAGACAGATAAGCTAAACTACACGGTAAATGGTAAATAAGCCAAAAGACCATTGATAGACCATTGATATGTTAAATTTCCAGAAAAAGCTTTCTTTGTAGCGCTTTTGTTCATTTTTATCAAAGTAAGGATAATGCTCTGGTCACGTGTAAAGGGTATTATATATCATTTACCATTTAACTTGGCTTATCTTTTCCCATAATTGTTTAAGTATTATTACATATCTATAACATGGTAAACGAGTGTTGCAGTGTAATCAAAGAGTTATGTAAAAGTGCTTATCAAAGGTCGTGTTACATTGAGGAGTGATACGATTATTTCATGAATTTTTTGTATTGCATGAACATTATAAAATTGCCATTTGATGACGCACAGGCAAGTTAATTTCCATTTAATCTTAGGTAAAGTTATAAATAATAAAAGTTCTGGATTAGATAGGATCACATCAATTCTTAAATATATATTTCAAAACATGTGGGAGTAGTTGATAATTAACACATATCTTACAACTTTGGTCAAAGTACAATATGTCCATACAAATCGGAGTCTTTTCTCTCACCGATCAATTATTTGGCCGTTTATGTAACTTTAACAATTCATAAAACATTTCCTGATCTTATTCATAAATGATAATATAATTTGACTAAAGAAATAAAAAACTGCCGAAAGTTAAGCCGGTTTTATGTCCATTTTATTATCATTGTTGGTGTGTCTTTTTTATTTGACTTGGTGTTGATTTTTGAAAAGTTTTAGAATGATGAAAGACCATTTGATTTACTCCAGAAAACGTACTCATGGTAATTATAGAGGTACTTAAATACATTGTATACGTATTCCGATTTAAATTTTTGTGTTTAAGAACATCAAGGTTTTACTTATTTTCTCGATGAAAAAGGCGATAAATATAGTTCGACTTTTTAAATATATTTTTTATTAAGTATCTATCATATCAAGAGATAAATGTTGTGCAGGAGTATTGATTACTGATCATTTCCAAATTTCAACAATAAGTTCGCTATTCAAACCATAGCTTAGGCACAATAACATGAGAAAAAGACCAAGCATTATCCAAACAGAAGAACATTAAAATGTACAACTTGAAAATTTAGATTTTTTCATACCATGTGAGTTACGTCCTTTCATCATATGTAAACTATACAATTATATTTGCGATATTTTTTTCGGCTAATGGTACCTTGACGGAAAAGATCTACATGAGTTTTATGAACCTATGTTTATAAGTAGGCTTATTCTAAGAAAGCTTCTCTTTTATGTATTATTTAAGTAATGGAAAATATTGACACACTTTGTTTCCAATCATGTATATTGTAACGGTGACGCAACCATACTCACATGTATGTATGATTAATATACAGGTTACTATATATAGTAACAAAATTGCCTATGATTTTAACTAATAATGAGTGTCACGTGACGATTGTTTGTTTTCCGATCGGGACCAAAAATCCATAATCACAATCAAACTGCTGAGCCACGAACGTACTTAAATTGAATAAATTATGCCATATTTCACGTCATCAAAACAAATAACTGTAGGATGGAAGTAGATTTTTCATGATGCAAACTTTGGCTAATTTGTACTGAAATGAAATTTAAAAAATAAGCCAATTTGTAACGAGAAAATAAAATTTCTTTCTTGATTCTAGTTGACATTGTTTATATTAAAAATTTAGGGAAACAACTTTGTATCAGTTAACTAAGTAATCAATTAAACAATGACACGAATTAACGGCATCAATATTGATCTAAGTAATTAAAACTGTAGATCTATTAAGCGTATAAAAGACATTAAAGGTGCATTATGCCTTAGACATGGTATCATTTTCATTTCTCAAAAATTGTATATCTTGTAACAGTTTCGAAACATATATTCATTTGGTTTATACAATATCAATCTTTTGCATCATTATTTCTGATGGCAATTAGTATAATTAAAGTGAATTAGTATTCTGTGTCAAAAAACAACGTTGTGTACATGTTCCTGCCTTTATTACACAATTCTGCATGTTAAGCGCTACTTTTTCAATTGTAAAATAAATGTAACATATTTTAATCAATGATTTAAACATTATTAAACATACGTTTGACATTCCGTAAGAGTTTCACATATAGATTTCAAATGCATAATGTGCCTTTAATACACGTCAAACACGGGCGGGAAGGTGATTATCGGCCTAGACATGATCTCAATACTATTTATCAGATAAAAGTATAAACAAACTAAATCCCCTGTTGCGGATAAACTTTGATTGTATGAACCATAGAAAATACCTGTGAACAAGTCATTTATGAAACGGTTAATTCAATACAACCCTACATAACCAAAATTCGCCGTCTAAAGAACCAAAGCCGTTTTCGTATTCTCTGAAGTTCCTGTAGAAATCAACACTTCCATTGAATCGATATTGAAAAACCTAAATGGATAATTATTTGTTAATATATTATAATTATCAAAGCGGGATGCTTTATGGGAAAATCTGTTTAGTCAATACCAAATATATGTAAGACATACAGTAAACTCCGCTTATAACGAACTCATTTGGGACATCTAAAATCTGTTCCTAAATATCCGGACTTCCTTGGGAGCATGTAGCGAATTAGTTCCTTGTATCAGGAGTTTTATAGCGAACAGACTTACATGTAAAACAAACTAATTGGAATTTGAATCCTTTGCCATTTAGGTGGTACACGATTTCTTATAAAATATCTTATTTTGTTTCTAAACTCGGTGTTTTTCGTTTTCTTTCCATGATTAAGAATAAACAAGGTTTTTTTCTTCACTTAATATTAAATAGTTTCTATTATTTTTTAAGGGTAACTTTTACTTATGAAAGATATAGATTTCTTTTCATTTCAATCAAGCGTACTTTGTAGTTTTCAATGGATTAGCAAGACACATAGCATGCGTGATTATATTAAAAACCAATTATAAATGATCATAATTATTTTACTCGAGAAAAACTATTAAATAAAAGAAATGATAGAATAAAAGGAATAACAGTCTCAATTTGATGACAAGAACTCATGCTTAAAATCTCCTGAAAAGAAAACTATAACGTACTGCTATACAAATTCATTTTTCACAGCTGTAATCAAAGTGCATACATCGATAAATGGTTCGTAAATTTCGGTCGAGTTTTAGTCCGTGCAAGTGAAAACAAAAGTTGAAAATGCGGGATCTATTTACAGATAGCCATATATGGGAGTTCGTTTTAAAACTGTAATTTTCTGTTCTTTCTAAATTTGGACTAAGAAAACAGTTTCTTAAAGGCGATAATTATCTATAACTGTGTTCGCTATAACCATAAAATTTTACATTTATTAAATAAAGAAAGGCACATTTCGGGTCCAAAAAATGTTCCGTATAACCGGAAGTTCGTTATAACCTTGTTAGCTGTAAAGTTTATCTATATTTTCAAAAGCAATGCTTTAATTTTGCAAATGTAAATGAAGAAAAGTTATCTTTATAAAAAAGGAACGAGAACGGAGTATTAGTCGCACCAGCTCAGTAAAGGTCATATGATGATTTGCCAGCTTTATTAGTAGCGGAAGACCGTGCATTATTTCAGGCACAAGTGGGCTCTTGAGGATTAATACCGACGTTCTGAAAGCTAGCCTGATAGCTTCCTCGCATGAATCAAAAGTCCCTTGCGAATTCGAACCTACAACTGTGAGGAACCAGTAGTTTGAAGTAAACAACTTTAACCACTCGGCCATTGACATCCTGTCATCAAAGATCTTTATCTTACCATCTAAATGCACAGAGACTCAAAACAAACAAACCGTCCATCCTCCCGTATCTGTATCAAAGTCACAATACACAGGTATAACTCGACTTGTGTTCCAAAGACGTACGTTATAAATTCCACTTTGTTGTTTGCCTCTACGCTTCTTGATGGCATAGCAATCCTCATCTGAAATAATCATCTTTAAATAAATTATATATCTCTTTTACAATTATTACTTTTATCATTGCTACATACCTCTTCTGCTTGAATGAAAACGGTAAAACATGCTTGGTTGGATTGAGAGTTGAAGATGAAGTAATATCATTAGAAATAAAATGAAAATTCAGCAATTTGGCTGGCTATTTTTTTTCAGATTATTAAATATTATTTTACAGCGCATGTTGTAAAATAATTTTGGAGTGATCTGCAATAAATTATACTGTTCTATCATAATAAGTATCTATTTTGGTGATGACTTGTTTCACCTTGTTGTGTCTCAGTTTTTGTTGCATTACATTGATATCCATCGCTAAGTAATGGTTTCAACACATTTGTTGTTGTTCGAGAAACATTGCTTTAGGCGAAATATATCAACTATACTTTAAACACGGCAAATAACATTTAAAGTATAAAAATGGCTGGTTCTTACCTAAACATATGTCATTATAACACAGTTTAACGTCATAATTTTGCCCAATGCAATGTTCTCCAGCATTTGCAGGAGTTGGATTTGTACACGACCGAACACGACTTTGAAGTCCTACGCCACAGGTTACCGAGCATTTCCCCCATTGCATCCAATCACTCCAGCCGCCATTTACTTTAAAATACAGGATTTTGTAAACGACAAGCTATAGTCCACCCACTGCCCCACATTGACTTGATCATAAACAAATTGTATACATAAATTTTGCAAAAGTCTGAAATTCTAATCACATGTGAATATGTGTATCGGTTATAATGGATCATTTAAAAGTTTTATTGTAAGCAGATCATGGTAAAACATGTGACCTGAACAAGAAAGCAACGGCTAAAAGTAAATGAAATGTATTTACATTAAAGAGTTTAAAGGATATGGAAATGTGCGTCACGGAGAGCTGCTTATTAAATTAAAATCAAATCAGAAAATAATCTCAATATACTTATTCTTTATGACTTTAACAGGTATTATACCAAGTTAGAATAAAGAAACGATCAAAATGGTTATACTTAAATATCACACATGTAACTTTTATATTTCTGTTAAAAACTTTTCACGTACATCACTTCGGCATTTAAATATTTGTCTGTTTCTTACCGATTAAACAGTCACTAGGGGCATTATATATAATGAGTCAAAATAAAACAGAATTATCCATAATTACAGGGAAAATTGATAATTCATTGCCAATGAACACTCAAATACCTAGGGAATGTTAAACATTCATTTTTGTTTTATTTTTCAAGTAGTTAAGAATGAACAATATCATGAATGAAATATTGATTTCCAAATAAATATGTAACTTTATGACATAAAATGAAATAAATTATTACAAATACGAGAAACTTATTATGATCAAGCAAAGAACATTCAATATTTTACTTGCACAAGATCCAGTGTTACAAAATGTATCTTCGATATTGTTTCCAAAACAGTGATCTCCGATACGGTCTGGAGTTGGATTGGTACAAGACCGTTTTCGACTCTGCATTCCTATACCGCATGTTGCTGAACATTCTCCCCAGACATCCCATGAACTCCAGCCACCATGCACTATTAAATAATTGTTAAGAGTCTATCAGAACTGTACTAATTTAGATTCCTTACATTTTCGTTCTACAATTTTTTTAAACAACTCGTTGTGAAATCACATTGTATCAATAAAAATACTACTACTACTACTACTACTACTACTACTACTACTACTACTAATAATAATAATAATAATAATAATAGTAGTAGTATTCATAATAAGAAGGATAATAATTAATCTCTTATATATATAAAACTTAACTAACAAATAGGCTTTTTAACAGATTGCATTTAAGGAAAACAATTAATATGTAAAAGTGGCCGTTTAGTTATATGTATATAGTAAGCAGAAGTAAAATATCGTCTGCATATCCTGAATTAAGGGTGCCAGCGCAATGTCGTAGAACGTCAATCTGTTCACGGTGTATTAAAACAAATAGCTATTCTTACGAACCAAATATTACAATGAAATATTAAATAAATAAGTATTCTTCCGAACCAAATTTTACAATAAAATATTATATAAGTATAGGTTAAAGTTTATAAGTACGTACTAACAAAAATAAATTGGTGAAGTGCATTCATTCATTCATTCAAATGTATGTTCACACCCCAAAATCTTGTGAAAACATTATGATCACTGGTCATAAATTACTTAACATGTTACATAACAAAAGTTCAGATCGATCAATTAAGTTTTATTACCCTTTAATCAGATTGAGATTCCATTGCATGGTGTGAAAAACACAAATGACCCTCTTTGGATATATCACACAAAAAATAAATAAAATGTTGATCATTTAGCCGTAATTATCTATTTCGCTTTAGTTTTAAAATGAATAACACTTTGAGAATGTTGTAGGATACTAATATTTAACTCGATGTGCAGATACAGTAAGAAATTCATTCATTCATTCATTCATTCATGCATTCATGCATTCATTCGTTCATTCATTCATTCATTCAATGGATGATTACCGTATCGATCACTTGAATGTAAAATTGGGCGGGGTTTAGCTTATACAGTCCTTATTTTCAATTACCAATGAATAAAGGGATACTTATGCTGCTGCTGATGATGATGATGATGATAATGATGTAGCTGTTGTGTATACATGTATTCATAATGCATTTTAGATTGGTATTGACACATATATGTTATACATGTATATGTATTTCAATCAATGTCTTACATTAAAATGTTTGAGGCTGCACTATGTACACAAGTCGATCAGTAATAACTATAATGTTTTAATTTATAGTGTTATTAAGAAAAATGCCTCGTCGTCAAAAAATGGGGAGATTACGACAACTTAACTCCTTTACAGCAGAACTCCTTTACTGCAGCAACCCTTTAATGAAGAACGACAGCTTCCGATAATCTGGCTTATTTGTTAAGCCGCTTTATATTTTATCGACAACATATAAGAATACACATTAAGGCATATAACTTAACGGACCCCTGTAGCGTTGAATGCCATATATATCGAACACTCGTAGACGCTGTCTTTATCTGATCGCGATCATTCAGGCGCTTTAACTACCTTACTCTTGACAATCATAAATATCAGGCATCCGAAGGTGCTGTCTTAATCTGATCGGGGTCATAAGGCGCTTTGACCGCATTACCTCGATCAGAACAAGCGTCTACAAGATAAAGAATCAAGTTTAACATTTCAAAGTTATCTCTTGAAATACAAATGACCAAAATTGCGGAATTGCATTGTTAGAAATAAAGTCGCAACTTTTCGGCCCTATTCGTCAGTCTTCGAATAGGGATCTCGTCGAATATCAAGAATATACAGAATGGATACGGTGTTTCGGTTTAACCTATGATAAGACACTAAACGTGTAAACAAATTTTAATTAATTGCTTGGAGTCGTTGACATTTTTTTAAAATATATTAAGTAAAATACCATCTAAAATAAGTAAATTCATAGAAAAAATAAAACACTTCTAACTGAAATAGATGACTGGACTAAAGCATACGGTTTCACAATAAAATATACCAAAAAGCAAATTATATTTATAGAAAAACAAAGAAATCTTAGCGAAAACATCCAAATTTTCATTGAACTTAATACAAGTATCCGGCGAAATTACTAGGAATGAAATTTGATAAAACTTGAACATGGAAAAATCATATCGATGATTTAATAACGCGATGCTAGAAATATCACAATATAATGCGATCAATTAAAAGAAAAGAATGGGGGCGGTGGCTGACAAAAAATGCCTATACATACTTTATGAAGCACTTTTACATTGAAAAATTAATAACGGATGTAATATTTACTAAAAAAAACTCTCATAGTAATTACGGGCGCTTACCTAGCTACACACACTGAACAACTACATATAGAAATGAATACGCTGAAATAAGATGTTAAGCGTGAAAAATGCACACTTAAATATTAGACCGTGCAAAAAGCAAAGTCTATAACTTGCAAATTAATAAAAAAAATAGGTGAGGATCCATTCTTTTATAAAGATGGCAAGAAAACACTGTCTCCAGATTAATACAAAAAATGAAAAACAATAATCGATATATCCCCTTTATATCCCCAGTGCAAGATGCATAATACATGCTTTTTGATAAAGGTTATATTGACCAGTATGAATTTAAATTATCTCTGAAATACTTCTTACTTCAGAACACACATACTTTCTATTTTCATATATTTTTTTTATATTTTTAAAACCTCTTTATATATTTCTGATCATATTCAGAGTGTTGCCTTTTGTATATAATATTATTCAAATGCATGTATTTATGTTTTACTGTACATATTTAAATGTTATTTTCAAAGGATATTTAGCGTGAAAATATTAATGGATAAACTCTATTGTGCTATTTTTATTTTCTTTTTAACAAAAAATACCATCGGAAAATGATATGATATATACCTTAACATTAAGCTTTTATTTCCACAGTATGTCAAGAAAGTTTAGTCTTTCCTTTTAACTTATAAATATATTAGAACTATATCATCAGATGTATAATATTATTATTGTGCGATTAAGGATTACCCAAAAATAAACATCGTAATCATAATTGTGCGGCCGAAAAATGATAAAATACTTTTACAAACAAATGAATAAATGTGCATGATGATTTTCTTTTAAACACAAATATTTATAAACATAATCATTTTCTAAAATGTCTAATACTTGTTACATTACCTGGACATAATTTGAGTTGACATGTCTTAAGTTCGGTTCCATTCCCCGGACAATCAATGCCTCCGTTTTGTGGTGCTGGGTTTGTACAAGTCCGATGTCGTAACAAATAGCCTGATCCACAAGTGACGTCACATGATGTCCATGATGACCATGGAGCCCAATTTCCGTCCACTGCGTGTAAAAATAAGTTTATTGTCAACATTGATTAATGAATTTTTTTTGGAAATGTTGATTATTTCTTAACATATCACTAGGAAGTAAACAAGCATGTGCATTTTAACAAGATTTTTCAAGGTTTTGTTGAGAAAAAAACATTGAAAACATTTTTATTTACAAATATGATTATGTAATTAGGTGACTTTATAACTATGTCAACGAATAAAGCATGAGGCTTTATCAAAATTTTATAAAAGTTAAAAAATAAGTTAGACCGGGATTTTTAAACGTTTGCATACTTTGTTTTCAATGAATATAGTTGTCACCAGTGACGTAAAACCTAAATAATAATCAAATAAACAATATAAATTAACCCTATATTGAGAACATTCTCTGCATCTTTTTTTTTTTTTTTTTTTTTTTTTTTTTTTTAAAATTATACGACTTTCTAGCTTTAGTTTTCAAACAAAAATAAAACAAAATGTGGAACCAACTTGGAAATATGTAAATTGGGCTGGTTAAAATTACAACAAAATAAAGACGTTGTTGAAACTTTTGTTTCAGTCCGATTAAAGATTACATACCGAGGTCACAAAGATTGCAATATTGTGGACATATTTTCTTTGCTTGACTAGTAACCTCACAAATATCAAACATCGAGTTCCATTTAGCACAATCAACTGACTTGTCGTCTTGACAAAGGGAGGCTAAAACAAGTAAAAAATCATCATTAAATTGTTGCATACAACTGCATACATAAAGTATTTGATCAAAATATTTGTTGTCAAATACCCTTTATAATGTAACTGTACATGTTAAACAATTGCTCAGGAAAATTGAACAAAAAAAGAAAACAAATGGAAAACACGGTATGCGACTACCAGAAAACAGTTGTTCCCGTATCTATTTTACTTTAAATTTGTGCAGCAAATCCATCATGGCATCACCATACACTAAAACAAACTTTATTTTCTGTTAAGTTAAATATTGTTTTACAACGATATATATTACCAATTTTTACCAAAGCTTGTGTCATATAAATTTATTAGGTTGGCATGAGGTAGCTATCTGTAACGAATAAGTATTTATACTATTTAAATTGTTTAATCATTTATGCAGTTTGATTGCTGAACTTGCTGAAATTGTTATATCTAAGATAACGTTTCAAACTATAAACTAATAAAGAAAGGCGCTTACGAGGAGGATAAGTACATAGATTTCCGTTACATTTATCCTTCGAGCAACATTCGTAACAAAAACTCGACTTATCAACGCTCATTTTTGCAATTTCGGAGTCATTTTGACGCGTTGCATATCTGCCACAACTCTGGAAAAAATAATTAATTAAATGCAATTTTCAAACAATACAACAACTGAAATGGGTTTTTTTAAGATCTAGTAAGTAAAACAGATAGACGATCACAAAGTTATATGTGTTGAACATTAAATAAGATAATAAAAAGCATATTGTATTCAAAAGCCCAAATAACACCTCTTGTCAAAACCGAATAACGTTTTGATTTCCAGTTTTTAATTTTCGGAATTTGCTGGCACCGATATGCTGATAATGTGAAAATACGTTAAAGATGTTATCTATTTATTGTATGAAAGTGAAAATTTTCTATCACAAAAAGTCTCTTTTTTACCTCTTTGTCAATGCATCCCATGTCATACTGAACCTGACTATTATATTCTCGTCTTTGAAAACAAACCTTTGAATAAATAATTGAAATCTAAAAACTACAATCTTTCAATGAAGTAATTAGTAGATATCAGAACTTACTACATAATATATCAAATTATATCAGAAATTGCTAATACTTTAGCAAATAAGGAACTATTTGTTCATATATGGTAATCTTTTAATTAATTATTTAATTAATTGATTAATTAATAGTTAATGTGTTGTTTTTTTATTATTTATTTATTAATTGTTGCTAATCAACACGGACACTATTGCATGGTTGCAAATAGAAGGGCATATAAACATTACAATTAAGAAATATTCGTTACTTCTGCACATTTTTGTGTGATGGTATAATTGAATTCTGGTATCGTACCTGACCTTTCTCGCATTTTTCCACTGATTTACATTCGCGTAAATTTACAGCTTCAGTAAAACTGAAACAGTCCAAGGAATCTAAAAAAAATAACAATCAAGCGTTTTATAAAGATTATAAAATATTATAAAAATGAAAATAAATGGTACTGATTATGTCAGTCTAAGACAATACGCAGATGGTACTGACTTTAATCTTTAAAGAAGAAGCCAATTTCTTTGTGTTTATGCCATGCATTTGAATAACTATATAGATACAATTGCAATAAAACTGGATATGAATTGTTCTTTAAAAAGAACGTGTGAACATAATATAGTTATGGCCCACTATCAAATATTAAATCTTTTATTTTGATATCTTTTAACGAAGTTAAGTTTCAAACTGCATAGGGATTTAAGAAGATACGGTGCCTGTTATTGTTAAAATTGTTCTATTCACGCATTGTTAAAATATTTAAAATGCACTTAATGCAAAGAATAAAGATGTTACATACGTGACCCACTGATGGCAGATACAGCGAAGATGAATACCCAACCTGTATAAACAACCGAGGGTGTTTACTTTTGTTTCAAGATGATAGTTTAGATAAATTATCATTGCAAATGTACAAGTAGAAAAAAAACAACATTTTTTTTATCTTTTTAACTTTAAATTAACCCGTCTTCGTGTTTATTGTATTGATGGAGGCACAATCTTTTCAACAATGTAAATATTTTGAATGCAACCAAGCTGATTTAAGTTTGTCAGGCGATGTTGAATGTGGTGCGACTGTTGGAATATTGTTTTTTTTGTTTACACGATTATATAATCATTTTGAATCATGCTATTTTACAAATGAATGTTTACAAATGAAATTTGCATATTTGTAATAAATTAGGCTTCATTCTTTTAGTTTGTAAAGATGTTTACTTCATTATTTTCTAACAGACAGACCTGTGAATGAAAGAATATATATTACGAGAGAGAGAGAGTTGCCATAAATCAAATAATAGCTAAACATCAAATGAATACATGCACTGATAAGTACAATTAAGATATCAAATGGATGTAAAAATATCGAATTAAACCTTTTATAATTTTACTTTGCTTAAAACATTATCTACTGAAAAAATATATATGTCGAAATGGAATACTTCATAAAGGAAAATATTACTTGCCTGCGTAAAATAAAGCGGACGGTACAGACAAAGTCTAAATTATAGATAGGTTCTGGGGAATTTGATCTCACAACCTTACAAAAAAATACAATTTTGTTAATTTCTTCTGATCTATGCAAACTATTAATTTATGTTTTGTTTTATGTATTTTCTAATATTTTGTTATTAAATATGAATACCATGTGATAAGAATGAGGCGAAATATTTTTTTTAAACAAAGTTTTATAATGAATTTACTTCTAATCATTTAAATGTGTTTAATGTGTAATATGTTTTCTATAGATTTTTCACACTCTATCTTGATACTTTCGAACGTCAAGATAGAGGTAACTAGGATCTACGGATTGATTTTATAGAGACTCGTTAATTTTTATATTTTGACAACCTCAAGCTTATACTTAGATACGACGATCACATATTTTGCTACTATTCTATTTGTGCTAGTGAATATATACAGATATCACATGTTATTGTATTAAGTAAATTTATAATAAAGTGCATTGATTTTATATAAAAATAGAATATTTGTATGCTAACATTAACTTCGGATGAATTGTAGCAGATAATAATGTTAAATATCTATCATGAACTTAACTGCTGATTTCTTTAAACATGCATTTATTTTATGTTAATATGTTGATTAATTGTAAATATATTGTCCTCATGGGTATTTGACCTTCTGGAATTTACTTGAATGGCTATGAATATTTTATTAACATCCAGATAACATTTAAATAATATATTAGTGTCTGGTGGCATAAAGCTAAATTGTTAATTGAATTAAAAAAACATGTTTAGATATTGGTCCATCGGAAGATTAAGAAACATAAACAATTTCTATAAGGTTAATACATAAAATAACAGTTCACGTTATATTAATTTGCTGTATTCAGAGCTTTAATGTAGTATAAAAATAATAAAATACCGAATAAAAGATGGTTTAAGGGTCTACGTAAAACATTCTGAATATAAATATAATCATTGACATTTTTCTTTAAATATAAAACAAACGTCATATCAAGATAAAGGTAAATTAAAAACAAATTTTGATAACTTACAATACATAGTCCTACTCTCTAAACGCTCATCACAAACTATCAAATTAGGCGGAAGAAGGAATATATAAATACTGGTGAAACGCTTTTGTTATTATGTTAACCATTGAATGACACTGTTAAAAATAGCTTGCACACATTTTGTACTTATCCTATTACCTAATAAAGTATAGGTTCCTTACTTTCTTAAATATCAATCTTAGCAATGAAGGTTCCATGTTATTTTGTAATGTTAATTTCCCATAGGCCTCTGGGAGTTATTCTTACCGTTAATTCAAGTGTACCACGTGACCAAGAAATTTATACTGCTACAGGGGTAACAGTACTTTTTAACAGTATAAAATCTGGACACGAGGTCTTTTTTCTAAATAAAATAAAATTGCCTCCGTTTTGTTCTCGATTCATTGTTGTTGTTTTTTTTTCGAAGTTTACCACAATAAGGCATCACTAAAGTTACTATGAACACCAATAAATTTAGTTGCTTGCATCCTTGAGTGCTTTTCGGGTTTTCAATATTTTTTTGTTGAATAGTTTAAAAGTAAACATCCGTATTCATCGAAAGTAATTGCAATGTAATTAGTATGTGTCAAACTGGAACATTCAGACGAGTAAAGGAGTACTTAACAATTTTATTTTAATCAGTGAAACATTACAGATATGCTGGACAGACATAGGATATCATCGTTATTTTGAATACACATTGGTCAAAAACCATTCGAAGAATATTCTGGATACAGGAGGATCAGATTTCACTGATCATAACCGTATAAATGGGTTTGTGTTTTGTTTTCTAAATAAAACACAGCTTATTGTAATTTTATGACTGGTAGATATCATCATTGCTTAAAGAATAAAAAAAAACATCTCAAGTAGGCCTACTGTACAGTACACTTAAAATTTAAAAGGTATTGACAGTTTAGTTAGTGTTACTCTTGGTTTATTTTTGTTACAGTTACATTTAGTTGACAATTTCATATGACAACAGTATTTGTTCGGGGCAATAAAACAAATAACAAATGGGTTTGTGAGTTACAGTAAAAATATCATCCCTTGTAAAAAAACTGTTACCCGAGGTGTAACAGTTTTTTTTGTCGGGATGATATTTTTGTTGTTACCCACAAACCCATGTGTTATTTATATAATAACACCCGTATTTGCACGTTATTATGCGAATGTTTCTAAAGTCAAGTTATTCATCATGTTCATGTTTATAAGCTGAATTCTATTTAAGTCAGTGATAGGGGTCATAAATGGTAGCTTTCATTTACCACTATTGTCACTGAACAGTCTTTATTAAAACGAGGCTTTTACATTTTCAATTATTTCTTTTGATCACTCCATTTATGATCATTTCAGGACATCATAACTATGTCACAATAAATATTCAAGAACATTTGCGAATGTTGTTTGTCAGGGATGAATGAATCCAATTGAACTAGATAAGTGATGAATTAACTCTTTGAAAAGATATGATGACTTCACTATTAAGATAGTCAGTCACGAGACAAGCATAGTTCATACATTTTGACAAAAATACTTAAATATGTAAAACAAATGGTAGGTCATAGGATCATGTAAATGCATATTATGCCTCAGAAACAAGTGAATCTTTACCTCATTGGACTTGAGTTCTAGTTTATAAGTTTATAATATTGTTTTGGAGCATGTTAGATACTGATAAGTTTAAGGAAGTAGAGCTTTATTTGAAATTATTTTCAGAAAAGTAGTAAATGTAAACAAAGTGATATTTTGACTTCCATACGAAATACTGATACTTTCTGTATTAATTGCTAGTATGCAACAGAAAAACAAGATGGTCCTGATAATTGGCCAATGAATTAGTCTTTGGAAACTATAAGAATGTACCAAAAATAAAAGGCTTCTGAAAAATAAAAGCTGGGGAATGATGGGCTTTTAAGTTAGGTAACAGTTGTATTCCCATATACGAATTAATTTATGGATTTACTCAGAACTTGTTTTTTCTCAAGTAATTAAGGGCGTAATTCCATAAAATACACATGCATGTCAATATGTGTTTATCATTTCAGACAACCTTAAGAGTATTATTACATCCCCTCTCGCGCCAGCATGGATAGGGTATAGAAAAATATAAACATACAATTTAAAGTCTTACTCGATATGTTTCTTAGATTGCAAAACAAATATGATTCTATCAGAAAAATATATCATTAATAATGTTTGTGCAATTTATATTTTTGAGAAGCATTGACAGTTGTGGCATCGGGAAGGGTAACAAACACTATTTTATGTATATTTCATTCAGTGATTTAGTTCATCAGTAATTATGTATTAAGCTAGGCATTAAATATTTTAATGGTTATTTTAAATTAAAAATTGACAGACAATATTTTCTTAAGTCTTAAATTATTATTTCGAATATACAAAAAATAAATATGAACATTACAAATCAAACAATCTTATATTTTATAAAAAAAAAACAGCTAACTAAGTCTTAAAAAATCGACTTTAATGAAACTATTAAATAAGTACGATATAGTATGTTCATTATTAGTTTCACCACAGTCCACATACTGTTACCATTCGTAAATTGTGTCTGAAATATTTAACATTCCGCTTAAAAGAAAACCACTGCCTTTTTCTATTTATTTAATAGTCACAATTCAAAATCTATTGGTGGACCATATTGACAACAGGTGAAATCTACCAAGTTCCAAATTGAAGGACAGACCACGCCATGACACTCCCCGTTCGATTACATTACGAAATGCATACATGGCCGTAAAATGAACATTTATAAAAAGTTTAACAGTTTTCAAAACACCGACAAGTAACTGTAACGGTCTTGAATAATATAATCTGAAAAACTTTGTTATATCGGGATAGTTAATTGTGCGTTCCCAAAAGTTTGCATAGTATTCGTATTCCCGAACTGCTTATTAACGCTTGTCAAAATATTGCCCATAATATTTCTGTTTCCCCTATAGAAAAGAGTACCCGTAACCAATGATTGCAACTAGTGAAAACTTGTTTCCATTACAAAACATTTGATTGTCGGGTACCTCAACACGGTTTAAGCCCGGTATAACTGACACCCCAATGTCTAGAGAGGGTTTTAAAAATTTGATAATTTATAATTATTATTAGATATCATACCATGTTGATGTTCTCAATATATGTGTATCCCACATTCTTGAAAACCAGGACTAGAGGGTTGTAAAGGATTTCATATATTCTAAGCGTCCTCCTTGTGGATGTACCATTGACCTGAAACTACTGCTCGATAAGTAAATGACTACTAGTAGTATCGAAACGGTTATGCAAAAGTATGCGTAACTTAGAGCCAGTCAAACAATATTTTAATATTTACCGTAATATCAGGTCATATCAACACTAACATTCTTTTTCTTTTTTGTTCCTTGTCCATTTAAGATTTGTATCTCTAACCAACTCTTACCCTATACATTATGCAAAATGTAATGATAGACAGACATCAAATAACCGGATCATACTTAGCAATGGCAAATGCTTACTAATGTTTTGTTATATTCTGTTCTGTTTCTTACCAGCAACAATAGCTCACCCTTTTCTCCCAAAAGACGAGCTTAAAAAAGCGGACAGACCTTGCTCCTACCATCGGATATACTCGACAGCGGACTCTATACGAAACCTAATATAACAAGGTTTAAGGGTTATTTTTAAAGTTAATGTTCTGTTCTATTTGTTACTAATTCTTTCTCGTTATAACTGTTCACATTTTTCTTCCAAAAGAGAGTTAAAACTTAGGACATCACTAACTCCTACCATTGCATAGACCCGACATCGGACTCTTTACTATACCTGTCCATACTTGGCAATGGCAAATACTCAAAAACATTTTTTTTCTTAAACCATATGTTATTTAAAAATATGATATTGTTTGCATATATTTTGATAGAAGAGTCTTAGTCTTAATAAAAGCATAGTTTCATAAAAATCATTCGTCTTAATTTTGCAAAAGCAAAAAACAAAAAACGAAAGTCAGACAACATAAAACAAACAAAAAATGTCTCGGCCTAACAGCCCGACATTGTTTTAGCAGAAACATCCCTCGATCTCACCCAAGCCAGTGTTATACCCTCGTAACTAACTCGTGTCATAAACTATAACTATTACTCACTTTTTGCTTAAAATCAAATGCAATAATTTCAACTTTCATGAGAAGTAAACATATACTCAATATCATGTTATCAGACAGAAGCTCTGGCTCGTTTAAATGTTTGCATTGAACAAAAATCGTTCACCAGTCTCGCCGCACCTTATGCATTAATAAAAATGAAAACAGGGGTGCATATACACACAGAAGAAGAAAATAATAATGTATATCGGATTCGTGTTTATTCACGGTGAAGAAGTCACAAAACATTTTGTCTGCACGATCTTGCCTCTTTTTCTGATATATCAGTGTGAAGTATTTGTAAAGCATTATTATTTAAAGGGTTTGCCGGTTGTTTTGAAACAATTCATTTTTGGATCGAAACTGAACATGCTCAATCAAAACTAGCCTACAATTTTAATAAATTTTAGCGTTTTGGGCGGTCTTTAAGAATTTTTGTCGGTTATGTAAGCCATTTCAATATCATAAACCAAAACAAAATCAAACCAAAATCTAGAAGGAAGAAGGAAACAAAACACTAAAAGTATGTATATACAGTCGTATACAAATCAACAATACAGCGCACATATAGCCCATAATGTTTGTGGTGTACTTTCATGTTTCACGCGTCATTAGGAATGAAGATTATAGGGCTCTTTTTATTCGTAAATTGACAGTGTATCACAATGACAAGAAAAATCAGAGCCCTCATTTTATTTTATTTTATTTATTTATTTATTTTTATTTTTTTGTAAAATATATTTATATTTATTACATGCTTTTCGGTGGTTTAGAAATATATCAGTGATATAAAACTGGTTATTTCACTTTTGAAACAGTGAAATTAACACTTTGATAATTTCACTGTTTTGAATTTAAGCCCCTTACGTTGTTTCAGTGAAATACCAGCGTGCACAGTACTGGGTACCAACTTAATGACGTGACGTCGTAAATGACGTCACGTTGTATTATTATTTGGCGCGCTTTTCATTCAGTATTAGGTTTAATGTCTTTTTAAAACGTTTCTTTGCATGTAATAAATAGAAAATTTGTTTAGTTTAGTGTAAGATCGAAATATATTTCACCTTGCGAACACCAAAAGTTCATATTTCACTCGTGGCTGAAATATACCTTTTGGTGCTCACTCGGTGAAATATATTCCGATCTTTCACTGAACTAAACAAATATCCTCTATATCATGTTTTTTTTTTCATTTGTTTGTATTTCATTAATATAATATATGCAAACACAAATATAATAATACGCTCAATAATGTTATCAATGTTCATATATTGTAAATAAAAATGTTAAAGATATGTTTTACATTTGAATAAATGTGAAAGTTGCCGGATTACATTCTTAGGATCAATGTAGTAATGAATTGTTTTATTTTACATCTTTTTATTCCATTTGCATTTCTACATTACAAAATCCAAAAGTATAACTTTATCTTTTGTTTCACATTTGATATCCTATAGTTTATTAGGGCATAATCATTGAAGTAATTTGTATATTTTTTTGTACATTTTACTTGAAAGTTGGAAATTTTGAAAATTTTTTTTTACGAGGGTGACCCGGGTTTGCTGGGGGGAAATTTATTTTCAAATAGAATATGTTTTAATAGAAAAACAAAGAAGGGGTTCCAAAAGGGGTTTAACAAAAAGCTAAAAGGAAAACATCCCAAAAAAGTAAATGTTTAAGGGCTGTTTTTGATTTTAAAAACCTTGAAATTACTTTCAATTAAATTCATAACATTTAAAATTTAATTTTCAGTAAAAAATTACTTAAAAGTTGAATTAACCCCATTTACCTTCTATTGTCTTTGGGGAAGATGGGGTCCTATATCAAGGTTAAGAAATTTCCCAAGCCACAAAAAATTTAAGAGATGGTTTAAACCCAATGTTTTTGTTTTCCCAAAGGGTTTCTTTATGGCATATTGGGAAAAAAAAAATTTCAATGGTCCTTCAAATTTGATAGACGCTGGATTCAAAGACTGACGCGGATAGTTCTAGATATTTTCTAATATTGAAGTTATATTTACGGTTGTTTGCCAAAATTATATCTTCAAAACTGTTGTTTAATCCTTTGGATTGAGTCAAATTGTGTAATTATGTTGATACTTAAAATGTGTTCTTTCGGTAACTCTTTTTGGCATAGTTTACGCAGAATGGGCATGCGCAGAAAGTGACTAATCTCATCATGTAAAAGGTTCATGAAATGAATTACACGTTGAGGGGCTTCTCCATTTTTAATGTTTGCAGATTGTCAGTGATGTCCTTTTTTTTTGAATAAATGATATTCAATCTGATCAAAGTTGGACCCTACTAAAAACTCTTACGTCATTTTTATATATTAATAAAACCATGTAAAATAGACATTTCATATACGGTTGCTACGATAAAGACATAAACTTAACGATTTTAATACAAAAGCTTTCATTGGTCATTAAGGAAGAATAAAAATTTCAATTGTTTTATTTCTACACCCGTCTCTACGCCTATAAAAGGGCAAATTGTTTTCTAAATATAAACGTCAAATGGGGTTAAATTAATTTTATCAGTGACAATGAATCTAAGAGTCTAATACTGTTTTTATAAAAAATTTTTCTTTTCTTGGACTGCGCGAATTTGGACGACGGTAAGTTATTTTGTAGATATTAAAATGAGGTAACATAATTATGTTCTATATGATCATTACTTTACAAAAGCTAAAATTTATTTTTTATTTTAAAGTATATTATAACCCTTCTCGTCAATAGGTCTCGATGAAATTCTTGTTTACACATATATGAATTGTTGTTCTCTAATTGTCGCATTAATTAATTAATTTATTTATTTATTTATGTTATTATTTTATTTTTTTATTGTTTTCTTAATTTCTGAAGTTATGAATAATACAAGTCTTTTTTAAGATTAGAGTTAAGTATCAACTGAAATTTGTGGGATTCATTGCGCATTATCTTTGATTAATTCTTTAATTTTACCTGTGAACAGAGCTTATATCTTCGTTTTAAAAACTGCATATTTTAAATTTTTTAAATGCAATCAAATGATCAAAGCAAAAACATTTTTTTTTTAAAATTTGCATCTCTGTTTGCTTCTTTTAATTTAAGTTATCTAATTAATACCATTATTTTATCTCTGGTAATATATGGAAAGCATGTACCAGGTTCAAAAGAAAATGACAGCAATTCAGATCTTTAATCTAATGAAAATGTACAAAACAAATAGTTCATAGTGCAAGTGTAATCAAATCGCATATAACTAAATCATTTCTCTTTTTAAACATATTTTTCTTCCTTTTTACCTAATTCTTATGTTTTTCCTGTGTTTTTATACATTTTACTTTTATGTATGTATATTAGACTATTATTTCACAACCGCAATACAGATTTTCAACAAGAACAACTAACATACGAGTGAGGAAAAATGTTGGTGCAATGTAAGTAGTTTTTATGGTTTTACAAATTTGATTTGACCTGTATACATGATATTAATATTGATTTATTCCTTTATATTGTATGATAATAATAATTATGATGATAGATGACATTGTATTTTTGATTATTTAAAGTACATGGTGCGGAGTATTTAAGACTGTCTCGCAATATTTCATTTCATTCTTTTTAAAATATTAATAAAACTCCAGCGAGATAAAACCATGTCAGAACACAAGCACTTAAATAAATGTGCACGTAGTTTATGGATAGTCTGTAAATTGCACAGGACAATAACGACATTACTATTGAATGAAAAGAGATATTTGTATTTCTTTCTTTTTGTTAGGTTTGCAAAAATGTTTTTTCACAAAGTAACCACATCCTTTTGTGTTTTAGGCTTACAATGTTTCTTTTTGTATCTACAATCAGCGGTACAGGTATGTTAAAGCATTCATTAATTTTCTTAAAGTAATGTTTTGTGTATATTATTTCCTTAGGATTCGTGAAAGTCCGGTATTATTCGTCCCTTTCCGTAAATTATATTTATTTGAAAGCAATTTGCTGATAAGATCGACATTCATATTCCTTTAGAACACGTTAACACATGAACAAACCGGACTATTCAAAATAATACTAAAATTAGTTCTGTACTTGATAAGATCTTAATAAGATTGTTTGCAAAAGAGTTAAATGAATAATCAAACGTTTTTTTTTGTCATATTTTTAAATTATTACACTTTTGAATTAGCGTAACACTAGTTTTTCATAATTTACTGCATCTTTGTTAAGTAGTAAAAAAATTATGTTGTGTCCACATCTGCATCGACTTGTGATTTAATACCGGTCCAGTTAAACAAGCGTTTTATACTCACTCTGAGTAGATATTATTCTGTGAAATAATATGCGCAACTGAGCCACACCATACAGATTTTATTTTAGTAATGCTAAGCAACAAAGACTTGTCTTTATTTAATGCGTAATTTGATATGAATTTCTCAATGAACGAGTGTAATATTAATACAATTTTAAAAATTATTGATTATTTAAAAATTATATATTTAAACATATTTTGCAATTCCTCAATCACACTAAGAGTCATCGTTATAATTATTATCATAATATATATTTTCAAACCATATTTCAGCGTCTCTTTCATGCTTCACGTGTTCTGATGCACTTAGCTTAGGAGAATGTACGTCCATTGAAACATGCTCCGAAGGAGAGGTATAATAACACATTCAATAGTTGAATGAATAAAACAGTATTTTAGTCAATGTTTTGTTTAAACATTTGCAAGGTATTACATGTAGTTGTATTGTAAAATTTTGAACTATCACTTTTTGAGTGAGACCATGTTTATCACTGTTATATCATTATTAAATTTTGGAATTTCTTTGAATATCGCGTCTTGCACATCTATGTAACAGACGTTTATAAATAAAAATAGACGATTTTAACAGCTAAAAATGACTGTTTTCTTTCAGACTTTACTTTTAAGTTTCTTATCAGCGTCTTATTAACCTAGTAGTTGACCTACTTTCTTACTCTTTCTAGTAACATTTATTCAGATAGACGAGGCGTGTAAATGAATGATTAAATAAACGGGAGAGAGGGAACGTTTATAGACAGTCAGAAATTAAGACAAAGACATGCATTCAACATTTTGACTGTTTCTAAGTGATCATGTTTCTAGTTCGCAAGATTGGGAAATCTAACGCAAAGAAAGACATCAGTTGCAGTTATTTGTGATAAATCTAGTCGTATGCCGCGGTTTAGAAGTGGTTTGGTGGATGGTTGTGTAGGTAGATAGATAGGCAGGTTTTCCAAAAACAATATACATGTGATATTACTAGTACCATTTTTTATATTTTTCTTGTAGGTTTGTTACAAAAAACGAGACTATACCAGTCAAGTGCAGTTTAGCCTCGAATGTATTGACAAGAAGGTAATCTTTCATTTATTCCGTTTATTTAGTATATTCCGTTTGTAGGCAATTTATAAATGATAACTTTATAATTTGAAGATATCATTTTTAAATTGAAGTTGAAACCGTTTGAATGACGATTCTAAAAGTCGACTAGCATTAAACAAGTAGTGTTGAAGTTGTAGATGAGTGCATCTAAAATTTGATATGAAAGAAAGAAAAGAAAAAAAAAGATTTTACAATTGTCAAGCTTAAGACCCAATAAGTTTGACTTAAAATGCAGTAGCTTTATTGGGGGAAATTTACCACAAAATATTGTTTTAAAAGATTAGCATTGTTATTTCAGGCATGTGCTGAAATACAAAATACCTCCGAAGTTCCAGTACAGAAAATGAGTGCTGACAAAAGTTATTGCCAAGAATGTTGTTCGACAAGCAAATGCAACAAGGACATTTGTACATATCCTCCAAGTAAGCTATGTTTTCTACGTCGCACCAATACTGTTGAAGGTCATAGGGTGACTTCTCAGTTTTTCTTGTGGTGGAAGACATTACGTGCCCTTCCTTGCATTATTTCAGGCACGAATGGGTACATGTACTAAAATTGAGCAATGGTTTAGTTTTGAAAGTTAACTGTAAAATCGACTCCCAACCCTGGCGGTATTTGAACAAACATACATAAGAAAAGGAAAGTGGTTTCAAATAAAAAATACCTTAACCACTCGGTCACAAGTATTTGCAGTTTCCATGAATGATTCTGCATGCGCTGGACATTCAATTATGAGAAAAATCTATGTTAAGTAAAATATTTTCTTTAGCAGACAGAGTGCTCAAATATTGTCTAATTGACTAGATTTTTTTTCAAACAGTTTATCATGTTAAACTGACGTTAAATGTAACTCTTTATAATTTCAAATTGGGTTGAATTAGACTATTTATATTTCAGAAATTGCGTTTTTGTATAATTTATAGGACAATTTATCCTCAAGCAGACAAAATACAGAATGCAGTCATTAGGCTTTAGTAAAAATCTGTATAGTTCATCATTTAGTTGATCTTACTAGCTTAAATGAATTGCATAACTATTAATTGCACATAGACAAGACAGTCGTTTGCTTCCCGTTCATTTAAATATTGATAAAAAATTCATGACAATTATATCTCAGAAATGGGGTGTATTGGTCATTTGACTTTCGCCGCTCGCTCGATTAGTACTCAATCACTTTCGCATATAACAATTGCCGTTTGGACATTGTTTTTGTTTTCTACAGACTCTGAATGCAAGGATAGCAAACATGTTGATTGTGCTCAATTGAACTCAATGTCCAGTATATGTGAAGTGAAAAATGAAGCCAAGAAAATTTGTCCACGGTTTTGCGACCTATGTAATTTAGGTATGTATGCTACTTGTATGTCGGTTATAGTAATCAAATCATGTATTTGCAGCAGTATCATAAATAACATTATCGTCACTGGCCAATACTAATTGACGTCATAATTGGTTGTTATTGTTGTTTTACATATTATGTAAAACTTTGTAAGGAGCTCGTAAAAATGTGCAAAACATTTTACAATATTACTTTTAGAGAAATATGAAATATAAAATATATCTTGAAGTTGATGGTGGTTGGTCGTCGTGGTCACAGTGGTCATCGTGTGATGTCACATGTGGGAATGGTTTACTGTTGCGGCAGCGTACATGTAATAATCCGACACCATAAAATGGTGGCCTTGACTGCCCAGGAAACAAAATTGAAAAGAAATCTTCAATTATGTCCTGGTAAATTCATTGAAATAAAATATTGTTTATACTTAAGAATATACTCAAAGAGTTGTATTATTATTATCTGCAAGTTGTATAAGATTCATTATCTATGCAATTGATGTTTATTTAGTAACTTAATCATCAACTCCTTTGAATATATTTCGGCTGACTTTAATATTGTGTTTAGATCACATTTGTTCAACTACACATAGTATGTTTCCCCATGTATGTATCACTCATGCGTGTAATTGTGTCAAACTCAAAAGGTTAGTGTCAAGTAAGCAGGAACGTTAATCATATTTTGGGTAGTACTCATATTGCATCAATAGTCACTTTATTTATATATAAAGAGCTTAATTTGTGTTTATATTTTGCAACGATATTTGCACAGCCTGCTTTAAGTTTGAAATACGATAAAATATACATGTCTTCCTTTCAAGTGCACGGAGGCTGGAGTTCTTGGGGTAAATGGGAAACATGTTCCGCGACATGCGATACTGGAATGCGCCGTCGGATACGATCATGCACTAAACCTCGCCCGGAACGTTTCGGAAACCATTGCTTTGGCAACAACGATGAAGCCGAATTGTGTAAAATTGGTCCTTGTACAAGTAATGTCTGTTTGATAATATCTATTCATAACAGCGATAAGGTTACAAACTCTATTAAAATGTATCTAAAATTGTATTTAAAGAAATTAGTCTGTGCACTGTATGCTTGTCTTAGCTCAAATATTTTATTTAAACAACCTTCCCTATCAAACAGATTTGACTTTCATCTGCTTTATGCCACGATATATGCACAGCACAAGAAAACGAATGCTTACACGCCTTGTGACGTCAAATATGGCGTCAATTAATCAAAAGTCAGGAAAATGATGCTTAATGAAAAATATTTTTTATCAATCTTCTTTTATTAGCATTTTAGAATGGATATAGATATTTGTTTGCAATGTAATAAAATAATGCACGGCTCGTCTTTTTAATGCTTTATACTTGATCAATCAGGTATATCGACCTTTGTTATTATATCCATGCGCATCCATACCAAGTTGGTAAAGTGCTCGTGTTTCCACATATAAACATTAACGATGGACAAGGGTATAATCCTTCAACTGGCATCTTCAAGGCTCCTGTGGCCGGGGTATACCAATTCACAGCCCATGTTTGCCAACGAAGAGACAGGCATATTATCATTAGCATCATCAAGGAGACGAAGCAAATTGCGGTCACCACGGGGTTTGAAAAAGCTACTTCATCTTGCAGCTCCATCAGTGCTATTGCTCGGGTTGCCGTTAATGAAAAGGTATATGTGAAGGCACGTTATAGTGATAGCGTTTTGGAGTCGGGTATATACCGATGGCCTTCGTTCAGCGGAATTCTTATGTACAGTTAGGTTAATTTAAGAAATACTGAAGTAAAATCAGTATAGGCTTTTTAATCCATAATTTTTAATTTCCTGTAAGATGTCAAACTTTGTTAAATAATGTCTTAATAATGAATACTGTGTTTTAAAACTAAAGAAAGTAGCGCTAAAGTTCAATAATGTTTTGTAAAGGCTTCAAAATCTATTCAAAGTAGTATTTTTACTTCCATACAAAACACTTTTTCACTTTTATTTGTACCAATGGCCAATATAGTTTAAAAAAAGCAAAATAGTGTTTATGTATATGGCAACTGAGTTTATTTTTGAAAACTGCGGAAAATACCAAAAATAAAACAAACGTTTTTGGAGGAAAATGATAGCATTTCTAAGGCAAATCATATCTTTAAGTGTTTAATCGTCAACACTTGCATTTTTTCCCTAATCAACTTGTTTCAAGCAGGCATAATGTAAGACAAAATAAAAAAATAATAATGTTTGAAATTTCTTATGATAAGGGTGACAATTATCACCGTTCATCACAACCGCTCTTACTTTAAGAAATTCATAATAACTTGTAGAAAGATAACTAAAAATCTGTCATGATAAATTGTTTGATTTCTATGTGCCAACTATTTAACATAACTGTTTAACATAAGTCTTCTCTTATTGTATCTCACGTTGACATATGTATTTATTTATATGTTAATACAAGATGATGTACTATGTGCAAATTTGAATAAATTATCTGTTTTGCTCTGTTAAAGATATTAATATAAAATGTTAGATGATATATTCGTATACTGTATACAGTGGAATGAACCTGTCTACCCATGGTGTTATGATTTATTGCAATTTGAATTACATAATGTTGAGTTCTCTTCGAGACGGTGTTAGGGTATGCAGACGATAGCTTGCTTTTACCACTACGTCCACGCAATGGAGTCATCAAATTGAGTATGTTACATATAATTGACGACCTTTTTTGTTGGTTTTGATTTGTTGCTGTTGATGTGTAATATTACAAGCTAATATTTTTGTATGTTGAGAGAAAGTTAATGTAACATTAAATCGTTTAATAGCTATGTTAGTCGCTGTAACTTATTACTTCTCGATTATATTTCATAGCCGATTAAACATGCGTTTGCAACATTAAAGAAGTAAGACTGTAACTATAAACAAAATTATTTCTCTATAAATCTTCAACAGTATAAAATAAATAATCCTATCTAATGAATGTAAAACAAGACGATTTTATGCTATTAACACGTGTGTACACAAAAAGAAGAATTATTACTTAAATATAAACATAAATTTTGTAACTTGAAGCTCAATAAAATACTGTCTTTCAACATGTTTGTCTCGTTTTATCATTTGAGACCCTATAGCTGTGTTTGTGTATGTGTACATGGAGTATTTAATATATTTCATTTACTATCAGCAATGGACTATTGTAGTTTCACATTAACTACAGGTAATTTTAGAGTTTATTTTCCGTATACAGATTGATATCCACAAAGGTTAATCGGCATCGTCATTTTGTTCTCTTTCTGTTATACCATATTTATGTTAACTTCCAGATCATACGATGCCTATTGTTTGGCATTATTGACATAAAACTTTTTATACCCCCGCACAACAAAGTTGTAAGGGGGGTATACTGGAATTAGCTTGTCCCTCCGGCCGCCCGGCTGTCCGGCCGTCCGGCTGTCCGTCGGTATTATCTTGTTCGCCCAATAACTTCAGATTCCTTTGACCCACAATCTTCATATTTTGCATGGAGGTTAGTCGTGATTAGTAGATAACCCCTATTGATTTTGAGGTCACCAGGTCAAAGGTCAAGGTCAGACGGGCCTGGACTTCAAAAAAGCTTGTCCGCCCAATAACTTAAAATTCCTTTGACCCACAGTTTCATATTTGGCATGGAAGTTAGTCGTGATTACTAAATAACCCGTATTGATTTTGAGGTCAAAGGTCAAGGTCACAGGGGCCTTGACTTCAAAAAGCTTGTCCGCCCAAAAACTTTAGATTCCTTTGACCCACAGTCTTCATATTTGATATGGAGGTTAATCATGATTAATTTGTGACCCCTATTGATTTTTAAGACACTTGGTCAAATGTCAAGGTCACAGGGGCCTTGATTAAAAAAGTTTGTCAGCCCATTAACTAAAGAATTCTTTGACCCACATTCCTAATATTTGGCATGGTGGTTGATCATGACCATAAGGTGACCCTTGTTGATTATGAGGTCACTGGGTCAAAGGTCAAGGTCACAGAGACCTTGACAAAAAATCTTTTCCCTTCAATTGCTTAAGAATTCCTGTCCGCAGTGTTTTCACATTTGAAGCATGTAGAACACATAACTTAGCAATGCACTTGCTTAGAAACCTCAGATTTGGCACGGAATTTGTCCTTGAGCTCTAAATGGCCTCTGTTGATTCTGACAAAGTGGTATGCGGGGGTATTCACGCCATGACAGTGGCAGTTCTAGTTTTATTTGCGGGATGTTTTTCGTTAATTTTGTAATTTATTATGATTTACGCTTAAATTTAATAATAGTACAGATCTCGATACTTTATTCAAATTATATTATACAATATAAAATACATAATTAAATACTGCTTGTTGGCCGAGTGGTAAGAACGAGGAAGTTGTGATCACGTTATATGAATAGATTAATTTCAATATGTATAGTCGCACAATGCGTGACTCGCATGTGTAGAACATAAAGATCAAGTCTAGAAAAAATATAATAATGAATTGTAAAAGAAAACATAAAAAACATTTGATTCGAATCTACAACTTACTGAAAGTCTTGCACCGTGTCAAGAGGCTTATAAGTTAAGTGGTATGCTGGTAAGTTATACATTTACCGTTGAATTATAATCATTAAAAATCCGTATGGTTTACGTCGGAATCCTATGATTACCGGCAAAAGGTCATTGAATATGCAAATGTCTCAGGTCAATAGTACCAAACCATACTTTAACTTAATTACTCAAAGTTATCGGAACAATATTGCTTACTAAATAATCACTAGCTAAGAAGGAAGGATAACTTAGTTAGTCTATTTTATTAGTTTAATAATATTTTATTGCAACTATTTTATACATAAAAACACGTAAGGTTATATGATAGTGTTACAGGTGCTTAAATTACTATTAATAAAATCGTAAAACTGTATTTTAACATGTGTTTGATTTTTCCCTAAAACAGTTTATTCTATCATTAAAGCTCCTTTATCTATCACTCTATAACTGTGCATTTAACACACTACAATGTTATCATAAAATTGTATATTCAATTGGAAAATACATTTAAATACATGTAATTGCAAATATATATTTTCCAGGTAATTAAATAGCATAGTGTTTAATATACATGTGTCTACAATATTGTAATATGTTTTGTAAATAATGCTTCTATGCGTTTTTGCGTAAACTATATTCGTTGAAATATTTTTTTGTTTACATTCACAATATCCGTAAAACAACCATGCAATCATTAAATTGTATATTTAATTGGAAAATACATTTAAATAATTGCATAATATATTTTGTTTAATATATATTTTCCTGTGAAAGGCCGCCGACAGTACAGCTCTCAGAGTCAACTCACATAAAAACCTATCTAC